CACAAGAGGTTAAGATAATAGTGTCTTTGACTTGGGATAGCAGAGCTAAAAGAACAAATTGGAAGAAACAAGATATTAAAAACAAATACACAAAGTATCACATGGGCTGAAATCCAGGAGTCCTAGAAAACCTTCATAGTGGTATAATAGTTACAACAGAATTCCAGAATGTCATTCATATCAACGATTGTGTTTGAGGCTATATTTTATGTTGCTTCTGCCAAAGATGGGCTTTTGCTACATTTTCTTAAAGGCTGCTATCAGAAATGTGTAAGAAGAGGATTCACATGTGGCTGTCTTAAAACTTTAGCTGTGCAGCACTGGTTCCCACTGGTAAGACCATTACTGGACCTGGTCAGTATGCAGGCAAAGCAGGAAAGTTGCTGTTCAGGTAGTCTTCTACTTGAAGATTAACTTTTTCCAGGTTATTGGGAGATCATTGACCATGGTGTGTGTAGACACAGTAACTTTAAGTTAGCTGCTGCTTATGATTTAAAAATTTGCATATGTGGCCACTCACCAGTTGTGATTAGAGTTCTTGGAAGGTGGATCTACCTAAAATATTATTACAATAATTGCAATATTATTAAGAAGTAGTTCAGGTACATGATATAAAATAGTGATCAATTTGTATGTGTTACTGTGAGTGTAGATAGTTTTCCCAAGAACATCAGATATCGTTTGATAGAAGACAGCACAAAGACATCTGTATGTTCATATTTTAGGAGCATTACTGCAGTATATTAAACTGCTGGTTTTCAGTGTTGCTGGTAAAATTTATTCTTATGGCTGAAAGTGTTTAATCTAGGCTGTCCTTCATACAAGAACTAGTATAGACATAGAGATTATTTCTGTTACATGACATATACAAGATTTCCCTTGTGTCTGCATTCTCTGTCACTGGATTTATTGTTCTGGTTTCAGCTGCACAGTGGAGAAAGACCTGGGACTAGCAGAACTCTCTCTTTTAATTCTTTTCAAAATTTGCTTTTTTTTTTTCTTTTTCTTTTTTAAACCAGTAAAAGGGAATGGGGGTATCATCATAAATCTGCACAAGCAAATGATGAAGATTCTGTTGATCACAGAAAACCCTATGCCCATACAAAACGTGCTTTATGACAAAATTCTCTTTTAAAGTACCAAATAGGTGCAGAGTTTCTGTTTCTTACTGAGACAAATGCAGTCTGATCATTAGGAAGCTGTTTCTTTTCATTTCAGTCCCCAGGAGTTTTTCCTTCTGTTTTCTTGTCTGGCTGGAAGTGAGGTGAAACTCAGGAGCTGGCACAGCTCATCTGTCAGCCAGCTCGGGCTCATTTGGGGCTTTTGAATCTGTTGGCTGATGTCAGCTGGCTTTGACAGCGTTGTAGAGGTCTTGAAGATAATGAAGATGTGCTGTCAAAGAAAATGGGCAGCTGTCAAGGAGCCTCCAGAGCTCTCCTGAACAAGGGGGAGGCTGCCACCCTTATCAGTGTCACTGGGTGCCCTGAGGACTCCTTTCAAACTGAGTCTGAAGGACTTCTGACTGCGGTTGTGCTGCTTGGTGTACAATGTTTAGCACGTTCGTGTAACATGGATTCAGCTATTTAATTATGACCTTGTAGCCATATTAGTCAACACCATGGTGTCATTTAGAGATTAGGATTTGGAGAGATTAATTCACCTTTTTTCTGTGTTGGTCTCAGGGAGCTTAGGAAATGTGCTATTAGCCTGCTGTGATTTCTCCCTCCCCCTCATTCCTCTTTCCTCCTTGCAGTTAATTGCTGGATGACTTGCTGAATTGAGCAATAGTAGAGGGGTAATTACAGCACTGGGCTGGTGTATTTTCTGGTGTCTGTGCCAAGAAACTTGCCTGCATGATCACTTTGTCGTTTGGTTAGGGGCCAGGGGATCACGGGTTGTAAATTTCCGTCCCTTGTGATCCTGGAGCTCCACGTGGTGTATGAAAGAGCAGTGAGAACATCCTGGAGGCTGTCCCTGAGTGCTGCTGTGTGGGCAGATTTGGCTCAGGAGGGAAGCAGGATTTCTTAAATCATCAAAGCGTTAATTGTGAACCAGTTTTGGCAGCTGGTCTCTTTATATAGCTTTGTGTTGGAGGCTGGAATTTGCAGGGGCAGAATCCTTGGTTAGTGGCTGAAGCTCTTCTCTGGATGAGGTAGGGCAAGTGGTTCCTGTGGATGCTGGTAGAGCTGCTGGAGTATTCTCCCAGCCCTGAAGGTTACCCAACACTGCAGGAGAGCTGTTTACAGCCTGAACCTCATCCTGGGGTGACTTCATCATGCTGGTATCCCCATCAGCTGTCTATTTGCTCAGAAATGGGTCTTACCAGCTTTAAGCTAGGCCCAGAGAGAGAAGGAGTGGAATTTTTTTACGCTATGCTCCAAACATAGAGATAAGAGTTCAGCTTTCTCCGAGCTCATGGCAGTGCTCTCCGAGTTCTCTGCCACAGAGAGAGAGAGGGAAACGGGAGCTTTCTTGCTTTTTTGCTGGTTTTCCTTGTTAGCTATGGCAATAAAGGTTTTTCCAGAATTGTTTTGTTCTGGAACTGTGAAAAAATCTCATTGTGAATACTTTGCTTGTTAAATAAACAGTTTTTTCCACGTTTCTCCAAGGAGATTATCTCCCAAACCGGCTGGTGGAGACACAGCTGAATCCTGCCTTTTAGAGGAAACAAATCCGTCCCAAACCAGGACAACCTTTAACTAAGGTGGAACTCGTAATCAAAACTTTTTGGAAGTGCTTTGGCCCTGATGAACTGCATTAAATGAGTGCCTGGAAATAACTGTCATCAAGCAAGAAATTGTTTTTTATGAGATGCTCTTAAACTCTGTATGTGTACAATAAATTATATACAGCTGTCTCGTATTAAAATGAAGCTTGGGCATTTGATTCCTGTTAATTTTTTCTTCCACTTCTTTCAGGTTGGCTTATTTATTCTGATCCTAGTATTCCTGTTTTAGGTTGTCCTCTTACTATCCCTTCTCCTTCAAAAATGCAAAATTTTATTTATGAATTGTATTATTGGCTAGTGCTTTCCAAGATACTTTTTAAAAACTTTGAAATACTCATTCTTTAATAATGTTTAATAATATTATCTGTATTATCACAAAATTAATTACTTTAGGCTTCTCAGAACTTTGTGTAGTTCATATATGGGTGTTAGACTAAATGTTTTGTGCCAGTATTCCATTATTGAGTAGCTTTAGCAGAGTAATATGGAGAGCTGGCTGGGTCTGGGAAAGAAAGCACTGACATACTTGATTATTTCCCCTTGAACGCCTTAAACATGAAGAACTAAAAATAAAAAAAAACCCCAATAATTCTGGATCAAGGTTCTTCCTTCCTAGAGTCCTTACAGACTTCCTAGAGGAAGCAAGTTAAAGTTTGTATTTGAAACAAATTTTTATAGTAGGATTGACCATTTTATTGGGCCAAATCACTTGTTACACCTTTGCTGAACAAATAGCTACAGACAGATGGAGGCTGTGGAAGAAGCAGGATGACTGGGAGCCATCCACAGGCTGTGTTACTGCAATACCAAGATCTATTTCCTTTAAGAAAATACCATTGGACACTTTTCTCCATTTCCCTGTTTATTATCTGTAGCTGTATTTTGGTGTTTCAATATCTTAAGTCTTGATCTAGTAATCATAAGACATGCCTCAAAGTTTTCCCTGGTAGATCTAAATTCAATTGTATAATTAATACTGTAATTATTACAATTTTCTCTTTCATTAGCTCTAGAAAATAACCTAATGTGTTGATATCTACTTAAGCATTTTTATTTGCCTAATCTTTATTCATTAATGTAGATTTTTGAAATGGGTTTTGCTTTGCTTTACTATTTCTGGTGGAAAACTGAATATGAACAGAGTAGCTGGAGAACAGAGAGTTGGGTCATCTAGTACACCACAAAGAAGGAAAAACACCAAAATCCTGAACTTGGTTGTCCTGTTATTGGGAAGAAGTTTCTCTTTTGCATTTTGTACTGGTGCAAGTGAATATCCAGTAGTGTGATACAGCACTTGATTGCTCTAAAGCCCTCTGCTTTGCTCTGCACTGGTCAGGGACACCAGTTTGTCAGGTGACTTAGCAGATGATTGTGGGACAGGTGTGTCAGCATTTGAAGAGGGAGGTTTTGTGTGCTGAGCATCTTTCCCTTCTGGCTCTTTTGTCCATGTACACGTTTTCATTAGCACAGGAGGTGTTGTGCTCAAGGTTGTCATTCAGGAGCAGCCTGTATTGCTCTTATGACTAACAGTACTGAAATTGCATCTCTGGCAAGCAGGTTGTTACATGCTGGGTTTAGACACCAAGCTCACAATTTTTGATGGTATTTTTGAAAACAGTCAGAAGCAATTGTGAAATAAATGCAAGTGCATGAAAACACTTCTTTGGAACTGGATTTTTTCCTTCCTGGCATCCTTGTGCTTTGGGAAGCCTCTTTCTGGTATTAAAGTCTCTCTCCGCTGCTATGATGCATCAGAACTCAAACCACATTTTTAGTACCTTATTTCTAAAGGAGTTTTAATATACTGGGTTTTTCTGGTTTAAACATTCAGTCCCTGTTAGCTAGATTATATGGATAATTGGGAACTGCTGCTGCTGCTGGAATGTTGGTGAAAAGCTGGGGCTTATATTGTTGTGTTCTGTTTTGCCCTTCCTTAGAGCCATGTATTTGACTTAACTGGGTTTTGGATCAGAGTGCTTCCAATTAAGAACAAACCACTTAATTGACTTGCAGAGTTAAATTTCTGAAGCAGGTTTCCTCACACTTCTGTTTCTAGATGAAGGAATTTGGAGGCAAGCCCAAGTGCTTCAAATGTGTGCCATAGAAGTAAATAAACATTGGGCACAAGAATTAAAAACTAAAATAAAAATTAATTAATCTGAGAATTGACTGTGGCGATGGACTGATTGGTGAGTGGAAATGTGACTCTGGATAACTGTGGTATGATTTATTTAACATACTCAAGTCTGTTTTTTGGTTTTGGTTTTTTCAGGGAGAAAGATCTTAATGCAAAGTTTATTATTTCAATGGAAAAAAATAAAACAACAATCACAAACTTAAAGGTGAGTAAACACAATTTATAAAAGGAAGTTATAACTCAATAGCTGCCAAAATATGACTGGACAAAACAGTGATGCTTGCTGCACTGTGGTCAATGGCCTCTAGTTGTTAAAATATAGTACTGAAGTAATGTTTTAGGGAAACCAGGTTACACTGTTAACTAGCTGCACTGTGGTTTTCTGAAGACCACTCTATAGGTTCTAGCTCGTAATTTCTTCGAGGGTTTATCACTCAGGTGATAAACTTAGCTGGGAGATGAAAGCCAACAATAGAATAGAGGTATGTTTCTGATAGCTATTAAATCTTTGCTTCATCTGTAGAAGTCTTCTGAAATTCCCATGAAAATGAACCAAATCCAAATTACCCATCACTTGCTATAACCTTTTGATGGTATATTTTAACATTTCTCTCAGCAAGAGAAGCCATGTGCAGCAAATTATTTTTTGCAAGATAGTGTCTTATGACTAATATATGAAAAGGAGTTTCAGTGTGTAGTTTCTTCAGAATGATTTGGAGCATGGTGAGTATTGCTGAAGTACAGTGTCAGCTGTCATGTCTTGAATGTGATGATTGCCTTAAACAGCAGGTATGTCACACCTTTTTAATTATGACTCCACGTTGAAGTACTGTTCACAGTGCAAACATCTCTCTGGCTCCTATAAATTATATGTGTAGGATAGTCCCTGATTATAATAACAGCATATATGGACCCATTTAACTGAACCTAAGTGTTGTGACAAAAATGTGCTGTGGGCTTAGAAGCAGTAAGTTAAAATTCAAATAATTCCTGCTGTGCTGCTTTATGAGGTGGCTGTCTTTCTTCCTTACTGAAGGACATACCTCCTCCTAATTTTGTCAGTGTTGTTGGAATCATAATTTTACCTGTGATACATTTCTAAATGTGTATAGCGTTATGTTAGATTTGCATTCTGATTATTTATTGTCAAATGTTTTTAATTACTTCATCAGGATGTGTTGTACCAGCTCTGTTTTCTTTTTTTTAATAGATACCAGAGGGTGCTACTGGAGACACAGGACGAGAAAGAACGAAAACATTTACCTATGATTTTTCCTACTTCTCAGCAGACAGTAAAAGTCCCAACTTTGTTTGTCAAGAAATGGTAGGATTTCTGATGTTAATAATTAATTTTTTCCTTTCCATTTTCTTTGTCTTGGAAGCATTCCATGAAACTTTTTTCCATTGAAAGTGCTTCTTCAGTAATTTAGAAATTTTCTCGATACCTGAGAGTTTGAATTTTGCTTTGTTCTTTTTTTTTAAACTTATCTAACAATGTAAGTGGTGTGTTTTCTAATACAGCAGGCTGAATGCTTTCTTTCAAGTTGTTTTGTCTGATTAGTGTTGTATAAGGTTAAGTTAGAAAACATCTCTAAGTGCTGAAATTGGTTTTGAAAAGCTTTTTAGAAAAAAAATCACTTTTGAGAAACAAGCATGTAGCTTTAATTCACTCAGAAACAATCTTACCTAGTTAAAGTGTGGTGTGTATTTTTTTTCCCCTTGGTCCAAAAACCTTGGTACACATTGAAGAAGATTCTTTTTTTTTTCCTCCCTTGAGTATTCACCTTAGGAAAGGAGAAAAGAGTTTTTCTTTCTGCATAGTCAGAACAGAAGATTAAACTCTGAGCTATAGGCATTATTCAGATAAACAGACCCTTTGTGACCTTGCATTTCATGTGAATGTGGAACTTTTCAGTTCTTTCCCATTCCCTAATAAATTTATTAAGTGAATCTCAAGTAAGTTGTGATTGCTGACTTCTGTTTTGGTTTTGATGCTGTAAGCTTCAACTGAGAGTAGTTCTTTCCCCTTAAAATAATGCAACAATTTACTGAATATCCTGTAAGCCAGCTGGGTTCAAACCTTAGTATGTGTACCATTTGTTCAGGAACCCTTGAAATCAGGGATGCTGTAATGACTAATCCTAAAAAGCCTCATGATTAAAACTAGCAATAAGAAAGAGTAAGTTGAAGCCATTTTAAAATATTTCTGAGAATGACAAGTTTTGCCATTATATATATATATATATATATATAATGACTATAATTGATGGGGAATTTAGACTTGGAATTTTTCGTTTAACATCAGGGTAAGTGATACATCCTCTTATTTTCTGAAAACTTCTTTTGTTTCAGTGAGATATTAGAGTTTAATAACGTTTATTCTTAAACTTTCTGGATTGTTGTTTCTTGATGATGTTCTTTTAAGTAATACTTTTTTTTTGCTGTTTTTTGAAATACCAGGAAACATACATTTTATCTGGCCATCAGTGTAGAAATACCCTAATTACTGTGGCAAATTGAAGTAGTAATGTATTTGAGAGCAATAGTGTGCACCTGAGATTCTAGTGAATGGTTTTAGGCAGGTGTTTCAGGCCATATGGCTTTGCTAGAATTTTAGCAAATGCTTTAAATTGAGCATGCAGAGTCAGGTGCTTTATTTTAACCAAATCAACTTTGATAACGTATTTTTCTGCTCTGATTCTAAATGAAGCTTCTTGACATGCACCAGTTGTGACTTAAATTTATGGATATTTAATTCTTGGATCTTTTAAATACCTGCCTTTAGATACTTCTTGCTAGACAAGACCACATTAGAGGAACCCCAGGAAGAGATTCATGGTGGTAGTAGGCTCTTGCTGTTACAGAGCAGGTTATTTCCAGAATCCAAATTTACTGTGAAACAATTAGGTTAATTCTTGTCAAAACAACCACTTGCATAGTAATGTTGAATGCTTACAAATAGATATCCAAGTTGTAGTCTGTATTGATGTCCAGTTTCCACATATAAGTGATAAGTTCCCCTTTTCCTTCTGGTGCCATTTACCTGTTTCAGAGTAGGTCAGGTGGAGGCAAGATTACTATAACTTGCCCATGTCAGGAGTCTATAGAAACAAAAATAAATTAAAATGGCCAAATACTGATGGCTGCAGCAGCCTTGAGCAATAAATTTTAAAGCTGTGAGTTTTATGATTGGTAATGATAGGATAAATCATAAATGTGGCTTCAATGTCTGTGTTCAGTATTGTGCTGTTAAACTGTGTTCCACAGCCTTGGACACCTCCTTTATCTGGACTGGCAGGAGTGTGGACTTCTCTTGCTCAGCTACAGAAATATTGTTTCTCAGGTGTTGTTTTAATTACACTGTGTGCAGCGCTTCGAAAACAAAAGGAGTTTTTAAACTATAGGAATGCAAGTCCTAAACATGCACTGCACATGGTACTGTTTTGCTTTTGTTAATGATTTCATATTTAATTGGAAGGCTTTGTAGTTAAGCTCTTATCAAGTTCCTGCAGAAATTACAATTTACTGCACCAATGGCATAGAAGGGCCTCGTTTTTGCATTCATCTTGCCAGGGAATAAAATTGATCTTGATTGTTGGTGATGTGGTTGCCTAGTGCCCTTTGTTCATGATTGTTATATTTTTCCATTTGAATGGCAGAAAAATAAGAAGTGGAAATCTGTCTAATACTGTGTACCTTATTAATATGCCTTGTAGATGCAAAATACACTTTAGTATTCCAAAGTTAGAGTGGGGATGGCAATTTGCCATCAAGCTTCTTCATTTGTATTCCTGACTGAGAAAAAAAAGAGTTTTGATATTTGCTGCCCTTTTGTGACAAACTTGTGTCCCATCCAGACAGTCTTTGCTTCTAACCTGTGTGTTCAGCCTTTGTGTTCAGACAAGACTGTCTGTACCTGTCCTATGCACTACCTCAAATCACATGCAAGACATACACAAATTTTTAAAAAGGAAAATTCCATCCAAAAAAAAAAGAAAGTTCCATTTAAAAAGGAAAATTCCGTTCCAAAAGAGTAGTGCATTAAGACTTGGACACAGATTAAAGTAGGGGAAAGAATAAAGTAGCTTTGGCTGATCTTTACGTTCTTTGAGAGATATAACTGGTTACAGCACTCTAACTCCTTTGCTGGAGGGAAGGTCAAGTGAAGTATTCCAAAGGCACATTTGAAGATTAGTGATTAAAGAAATTACACAGTGCTCCTTCTAGGGAGAAGCTGTGAGATTATACTGTGCTTGTGCCATTCACTATTAAAAATTGCTTGTATGCCTTGGAGAATATAAACCACATAAAGTGCAGAAAACTAGCTAAACTATGTGAAGCATCTGTGAGATTTTTGGAAATCATGTCTAGATGGTGAGACAGAGATTAATATTTTAATTTGGAGAAACGCTGCACCAAGTGTTACTCCTTGCCCAGTGAGGGGTATGGATTGAAATGAGGGGTAGTGTTGATGAAAGGTCAGGCAAATCTGTGAGGTATCTTGGATTGAGCCAGTATTGTGTGAAGGCATCTGGTGAGAGCAGAGTCCCATATTATGTGATGTGGAGGAAGGATCATTACATGTTGAGAGTAAAAGAGAAGGGGTTGAATGATGAAAAACATTACCACATTAAAAACAAGTTTCCATGTTTGCCAGCCTAAAAAGCATTGCTATGTAAAAGCCACTTGTGGAGAAAATACAGAGAAGATTATGGGTCATGTTCTTACGCTTGATTAAAGCAAAAAACCAAAACCAACCAACAAAACTCTCCAAAAAGACAAAGGAAGAAACTGACAGAATCATGGAAATGTTTCCTTTTGAGCGGGGACTGGATATTTACAGAATGTGGAGAGTTGGTGAAGATACAAAAGATAATAGCATAAGATACAAATAATATAAGATACATAAGATACAAAAAGGTAATAACAATAATGAAAGTGAATGGAGTAGCTGAGATTGCTGAAGGACGTTGGTGCTTTAGAAAAGAAAGGAGCAATTTGACATGTCAAGTGTTCTGTGACAGAGAAACAAAAAACAAATCACTGCAGTGATGAAATGTGGTAGTAAGACTTAGTATTTTATTTGAAATATTAATTTCCTCTGCTATAGTAAATATGTGTTTTGTTGTTTTGTTGTGGTATTCTTCAATATTTGCCATGCTGGGCTGATGGTGTTATTCTTCCCCAAGCTTCTGTTGGCTTAAACTTTTTTTTTTATTTTTAGGTTTTCAAAAATCTTGGTACGGAGGTGCTTAAATCTGCTTTTGAAGGTTATAATGCCTCTGTTTTTGCATATGGACAGACGGGCTCTGGGAAGTCCTACACCATGATGGGAAATGCGGTACGTTGTGTTTTCATTCAGCTGTGGAATACCAGCTTGGAAGGGCTCTCAAGAATTGTTTGGTCCAACTTGGCAAAAGCATGGCCAAGACAAGATTGCTCAGCATCTTGTTCAGATGAATCTTAGAAGTGCCAGTTGTTGGGAATCCTCTACTCCCCTGGCGACGTAATTCTAATCACTGATTGTTCTCATGGAAAATGGTCCTCTTGTATCTAGTCCTATTCTCTGCAGGAGTAATTTGTATCTATTACCACTGTCCTTAGCATGTGACTCCTTGGAAATAGGAGTTTCCATCTTCTCTGTAGGCACTTGTTAAATACTGGAACATGATTATAAGGTCTCTTCTAAGTCTTTTATTCTCAAGGCTGAACAAATCCAATTCCCTCTGCCTTTCTTCACATGGCAGCTTCCCAGTCCTTTGGTCATCCTTATGGCCCTCATCTGGACCTTTTCCAGCCTGTCCCCATATTTTTTTATGCAGAGACCAAAACTGAGTGCAGTATTCTAGGTGTGACCTGACAAGTGCTGAGTAGAGTGGGATAATGACTTTTTCATCTCTGCCCTGGTTGTTGTGATGCAGCCCAGCATCCTGTTGGCTTTCTTTGCCACACTGTTTGCTCTTGTGGTGCTTGCTGTCCACAGGACCCCCAAGTCCCTTTCCGCAGAGCTGCTCTCCAGCCAGATAGATCCCAGCCTTTGCTGTGCTCCTGGATTGTGTTCTCTCATGTGCAAACCTTATATTTGTTGAGCTTCATAAGGTTCTTGTTAGCCCACTATTCCAGTTTATCCAGGTCTTCCTTCACGGTGGCTGTCCCTTCTGAAGTGTCAACTTCCCCACTCGCTTTGGTGTCTTCATCAGACTTTGTTGTGCTACTCTTGGTCCCATTGTTCAGGTCACTTAAGAAGAGTTAAACAGCATTGGGCCCAATCTTGATCTGAAGTGTCAACTTCCCCACTCGCTTTGGTGTCTTCATCAGACTTTGTTGTGCTAGTTTGGTCCCATTGTTCAGGACACTTATGAAGAGTTAAACAGCATTGGGCTCAATATTGGTTCCTGGAGACCCCACTCGTGACAAGTTTCCAGTTTTACAAGGAGCTGTTTGCCATCACCCTCTGAGTGCAGCCTGTAAGCCAGTTCCCACCTACACACAGACCCCTTGTCTAGACCATAATACATTAGTTTCTTTAGCAGCAGGCTGTAAGAAACCATGTTTAAAGCCTTGGAGAATTCCAAGTAGACAATGTCCACTTCTTGTGCCACATTGAGTGAGCAGGTGTATATTTTTGTTGGAATGGATTAAAATTGCACTGTTTCAGGAGCGTGTTTTTATGGAATTTTTAATACTGCTTCTGTCTGTATGCTACTAACCCTTCCATGTATCACACCTTCTAACCAGTAATTTTTGTTCAGTAACAAAGCCAAAAATTTCTAATGTTACTGCTGATTTTCTATGCCCAACTTGAGACAGAAAAAAGGAGATAATGATTTTGAGAAAATTAATGATCAGCTTTTTCTGAAGATATGTGCTTTTTAAACCTCTTTTGAAGACTCAGAAGACTAAAATAGGTCCTTAGAGAAGGCTGTCAGGTGATAAGCAGAAATTGGGCATGACAGTAGTTCATCAAAGCCTTATGAGGTTATACAGGAAATTAAATTTTAAGGATTATGTCCTATTGAGCACTGCAGGAAGAGGAAGGTGTGACAGGAGGTATTTGGCAGTTTGTGAATGAAGGATGGGAGTGGTTTCTTGCAGTTGCCTCTGTGACTGTCCAAGGACAGAGAGAACCCAATAAACTGTTGGGGGTGGAGCAGTTTAGAAAGACTGACTGATGAAGCCTGTTTGCCAGACAGCCTCTGCAGGTTTCATTCTTTAATCCTTGGGAAAGAAATGTATTGTGTCTTCTCCCAGTAGAAATGAAAAGGAGAATATTAACACTTATCCTTCTTTGGATAGATCACTCTTCTGAAATGTAGTAAGATTGGGCTCTTTGTACCTCCTCTAGCTTAGGAGAGTAAATTAGCTGTAAATATTTTTCTTTCAGTTGTCAAAAATAAGTAGCTTTATATTTACCTCAATATCATAAGCAGAATAGACTTTTGCAACCAGAAAAGATCTCACAACCTAGGTGTGGATTTCTATTTCAGAAATTTATAAAAGTGACATTTTTATGAGACTGCCTCACTATATATAATGACTGTAATTATCAAAACAGTTTGCAAATGAATAGATGCTAGAGTTTGTTTGACACTATTCAGTAATAAAGGTCTAATCTTCTTGGCATGATACATAAATACTTTAATCTGGCTTTGTATAGAGTGCATATAAAGTATACTCAGCTGGCAAGTTAAATGCTTCAAATTGATGGCCCTGTCAGAGAGACTACAGTGCTATAAGAAAACTTGAATTGGAAATAAGTATTCTTTTTTCCCTACTTCAATTTTAAAAGCCTGGGTTCTGTTCTCATTTTGTTTTCAATATTTGCTGTTCTTGGCTCTGAAAGGTTTCTTCTGCAATTCTGTGTACAGCAATCATTTCAAGAAATATGTGAGCCAGTTAGAATGTTGAGCAGAGATACTGAAATGAGCAGATATCTATAAAATATCAGGAAATTCAGACTTGGATATGCAGAGAAGGCAAGACTATGGTGGATTAAAATTCTTCTAAGACCTGAAAGGCTGCTACAGAAAGGAAGAGAGTAATTTGCTCCTTATGGTCAAGGTAGATGGGCAAAACTCAGTACATTTAAATTGCAGTAAGGATTTTTCCGGTTAGATAGCACAGAAGAAGAACAGGCTTTTAATGAGAAAATTCAGCTTTTGAGTGAACTACCTATTTTGGTTGTTCTGATTTTCATGTCTGGAAACTCTGTAGGCCAGGAAAAAAAATAGTCAAAGCTGTAGTTGATCCTGCCCTTCAGCTCTAGGGAGTGAAAAGGCAAAAGTGTTTAAATATAGTTTCCAATAAAGAGTGTACATTCTTTAAGATCTACATTTTACTAGCATAATACTCTGGGAACTGTGTGTGCTTACTTTCTCAACATTATATTGCTAAGGTTGAAATTACTCATTTAGAGCTTGTACTTCCTATTTTAAGCCTCTTTTTGTGGTTGCTGGATTATGTCAGACACTAATGATTTGCCTAAAACTTTGTGATAGATCTTCCATGTTTTTTTCCCTAAGCTTTAATTAAAGCTATTCAGGTGTTTCCAAGCATGAGATGAAAGAAAAGTATATTCCCTCTTCTGTTGTGTAAAAAAATGAAAATAAAATGTGTGTGGGAATTTCCAACACTGACCCATGAAATTTTACCTGGAAATAGAGATTGATAATTGACAGATATTGGGAAAAGCTGCTCCTCTGTTGCCAGAGGCAAGTGTCTCCAAAAAAGCCTGATTAATCTGCAAGTTTTTCCCTTAATCTAGGAATTTTTTAAATTTTTTTTTAACCTAAGGTGCAGTCATGTTAAGAACTAGGAAAGACAGGAGCAGAGAATAGATTATTATTTCAAAAAATGAAGTTTGGTTTGAGAAGGATAGAGAGACTGATTAAGAGGAGGAAGAAGCTGGGAAAAGGCAGAATGGAGGGATAAAGTATAATTAAGAAGCTGGAAGTTACTGGATGATGAATTGGGAATTTTATCTGGACAAAGGAACAAGGAAGAGGAGCTCAGAGGTGGCATCTGGAACATGATTGTTGTGACAGAGAATGCAGAGGGAAACTGAAGAATGAGTGCAGAGGGCTCAACTCAAGTGAGCTTGGGCAGAAAGGGTTGGATTTTTGTAGGAGTCCAAGAAGAGAAATCTTTGCCTGTGGAGCACTAGCTCTGTCAGAGTTTGGTGCAGGGGGAGTCCATTGGCTTTGTGTTTTCCTGTTGCCAGTTTTCTGTAGAATCCCACCAGGCAAGCTCTTAGGTGCCTGGAGTGCCTAGTCTGTGTTCACATTGAATGCCCGGTCTGGCTTGTCCTAATTTGCATCCCACTTAATTACAAGGCCCCTGACTCTAAACACAAGAGCATTTCTTGTGGCAGTTGTAGATAGTTAGTCCATCACATTGAATCTCTTACATGTTTTCAGACTGGAGGGAAATTATAGATGACAGACTGTTTTGTGAGCTGCTCCTGAGCCTGGACCTCTTAACCCAAAGCTCATCTGTATGTGTACATCCTGTCCTGTTATTCCAGGGAGCCATGGCTCTGAGGAAGTGTTAACTGCCTTCTCCCTGGAGTGGTGGGGAGATGGCCTCAGCAGGAGTTGGTCACCTGGGGCAGCTGGGAGTGAGCACCCCTATGTCAGATGAGACCAGGCCTGTGTGGCACTCCTGCTCCTCTGCTGTGGGGAAAACCCTCACTACAGCTTACTGCTTGGCTGGAGAGGGCTCTTCCTGGACCAGCAAGGAGAAATGCATGCTAAGTTTCTGGGTATCTCAGTGGGATAGGTCTTCTTCAGTTTGCTTTATTAAACCAACCAAGCATTTAACGCATAAAAACTCTTTATTTGCAGAGACAAACATTCGGTAGTTAATATCAAATTAAATTTGGCTGGATTGTGGGATATGGTGAATGAAGATTTAATTTTGTCATCGTGTACTAATTTATTCAGAGGACCTGTTGCACTTTTCAACACAGGAAGGACTGTGACCTGGGAACTGGGGGCTTGAGTGAAAATGTCCCATGGCTGTTTGTATATGGCTCTTGTCCTGTTCTCTGCAGTTGTTGCCAAGTCCACAGTGAAATAAGATAGAAGCAGTTAAAGATACTGGTGAGATAAGGCAGTTCATGACATACTCTGGGGAGCCAGTCTCTGCCTTAAGCAGCTGGGATGATTCAAACTGAATGGGAGGGACAAAATGTATTCCAGTAGCAAAGAAATGAAGCTGGTTGTACATTCCACACACAAAAGGGTTAAAGTGGCAAGGTGACTGCAGTTAAATAAAAGGCAAGAGTGTTTGCTGAAAAGTTTTGATTTTTCCCCTTTCTGGAGTCTTAAACTCTTGACTAGTCATCTAGGGCTTTATTTTTCAAAATATGTTGTGCATATATATATAGCCTTGGAATTAAGATTTGTTGTTATTGCAGGGTGATGCAGGTTTGATACCTCGAATTTGTGAAGGATTATTCAGCAAAATAAGTGAAAAAACAAAGCGGAATGAGGCATCCTTTCGAACAGAAGTCAGGTAGGTCTTGGCATGTTAAGAGTTTGCAGGTTATCAAACTTTTTTCGGTTACAAACACTCTGTTTCACTTTATCTCTGGGAAGAATGCATATTTTTCAAAAATAACTTTTTATGCTTGGCCTCAGTCCTGTAACTGATTTTTGTTGGCACTTGTAGTCAAAATGCACAGTACTTGTACCTTCAAGCCAAGAGCTGTGCATATTGTGTCATTTATATGATAGTGCAAATGCCTTTGCTGCTGGACAGCATCTTCCTTTTTTTTACCCTTTATTTCAGACTAACATTAGGAGATCTTAACCTTGTTCATGTCTGCTTTCTTTCCACTTTCTTCTTGCTTTTTTGGCTTTTTCCTTTATGATACAATGCTTCGTAGTCATTATTATCTTAAGCCGACTTTGGGTCTATGCTTTTGCTCCGAGCATTTTGCTTTCATACTTGTGTTAGTATGGCTTTCCTTTTATAAAAGGCTCTTGAATCTGTCAGTGGCTTTCTATTCTTTTTTTTCAGTTATCTGGAAATTTATAATGAACGTGTGAGAGATCTTCTTCGAAGGAAGTCATCAAAAACTAATAATTTACGGATACGGGAACATCCAAAGGAAGGGCCGTATGTTGAGGGTGAAAACACTTTAATTGTTTTACACTGCATATTTTATTACCTTTATGTGTTCTAAAATGTAGTGTCTAATTGTAATAAGGCATTTTATCTTTTAAAATATAAATTATGAGGGATGTAGTGCCTTACTTTGGTAAAAAACATTGAAGGAGTAGCTTCTAATTTTGCATCTCTACTTGCTTTCCCAATCCAAAACTTATTAGAGTTTTTTATCTGCAAATTTATAACACATTTTTAAGTAATGTTAAGAGACACAATTGGTTTTAACAGTTTGTTGACTATAATTTATAAATCTTAGATATTTAGATGAAATGTAAACATTAGGATCTAATTGTCCTAATCTTTTCTCTACCAGGGAAGGTTCACGTCTCTTGTGGGATTATGCTCATGTATTCCACTAAATAATAAGATTGTGTGTTTTTTTCTTTTTTACTGTAAATGTGTAAGTTGTCCAGTGTTCATATGAAGCCTCATTCCTTTCCTTAGGTGATGAACAAGTATGACAATAAACACTAATTGCAGCAATAGTTTGCAGTAGTGAGGGTAATTTGAATCTTTTTTGTAAAGAAAATTAAGGACATATATGAGCATACTGTAACACTCTGCTTTTCTTCAGACTTGTCCAAACATTTAGTCCAAAATTATGCTGATGTTGAGGAACTTATGGATGCAGGAAATATAAATAGGACGACAGCTGCAACTGGAATGAATGATGTTAGTAGCAGGTCACATGCCATTTTCACAATCAACTTCACTCAGGTAACAAAACAAAACTCCTTCGAGAGATTGGACTTGTTTCTTTAGATCATAGTCATCTGTTTGCTTATATGTAGCAAACTCCTTTTCTAATGACTTCCAATGCTCTTTGTTATTGTTTTTGGGGGCTTGTTAGAAAGCCCATGGATGACCTGCTAGATGAAGAGAACTTGGAGGTGGCGGAGAAATTAAGTGTAAATTTGTCTGTGCATGCTATAACTTATTGAAAGCAATATATAAATATAATTCAAATATTGTAAGCCTAATGAAATGAATGCAGTACATGGTCACTGCATCATGTAAATTACAACTTACAGTGTCATAAGCTTGTCTGTAAATGGCTAAAAAGTTGCAAATATTACAATTTAAAGACATAATATGGGAGTTATGCAACCATTCATTATTAAGTGTCTTTCAGTGGCATCTCTAATACACCTGTCTTCTCAAGATCTCCTATTGTAAACAAGTTAAATTCAGTCTTGTCATGAAAAAGGCCACTAAATTTGATTCAGTAAAAGTGCAGTATTTATTAGCTTGATATACTTTTCTTTGTTTTATTTTTTCTTTTCTTTAGGCTAAATTTGATTCTGAAATGCCTTGTGAAACTGTTAGCAAGATTCATTTGGTAGATCTTGCTGGAAGTGAGAGAGCAGATGCCACTGGTGCCACAGGGGTTAGATTAAAGGAAGGAGGGAATATTAACAAATCTCTAGTTACTCTGGGAAATGTAATTTCTGCCTTAGGTAAGTCTCTGGTTTTTGTGCTTGTCTGCCTTGAGGTGTTTTTAGTCACTAAATACCTTTGTTTACCTACACAAAAAATGGCCTATCACATTTTTGAAAATGAATGAGAAGATCTAATTTTTTTTTTCTATCTTCTCATCACAGCTGATTTATCTCAGGATGCAACAAATCCTCTTTCAAAGAAGAAACAAGTATTTGTGCCTTACAGGGACTCGGTGTTGACTTGGCTATTAAAAGATAGCCTAGGAGGAAACTCCAAAACTATAATGATTGCCAGTAAGTGAATCTGAATTCTGAATAGTTAATGCTTAATACAAGTGGCTGTAAATATTTAGATTCCAGATGTTTTGTTAAGGAACAACATGGTGTACACATATTAGTATTTCTTTCTTTCTGAGCTTTCTAATAACATTCTGGGTTTTACTTACACTCTGCACAGCATAACTAAAGCTTTGTGCATCTGGTCTGTCCTGGTGTGTGAATCAGTTGCTGTTCCAAGCTGGTTTTTTTTGTTGCATTAGTAGCAACCTGGTCTCTTTTGACACCCTGTGGGAAAGACAGTCACTTTTATCTAACCTTCTAAAGCACACAACATTTTAACTTGTCTAAATTTAAGTATGATGAGTTGTCTTGAAAACTTCTGGTTTCCTTTTTACCCATAGGAAGGTTTGCAAGGATCACTTAGTTTAAAGCCCTGCCTATGCCATATGTATTGCAGGTTTGTCAACAAATTGGAATGGGAATTCCATTCCCAAAAAAACAAAGTGAAGCCAGGATGATGTTTAAGGGGAGGTGAGGATTTTGGAAATTGTAGAATGGTTTGGGTTGGAAGGGACCTTAAAGATGGTTTAGCTCCATGCCTCCTGCCATGGACAGGGTCACCTTCCACTAGACCGGGGTGCTCAGAGCTCCATCCCCCCCAGCCTTGTATTGTGGGTAGGGTCAGAGACACAGACACCAAATTAAGGAACTATATTTACTATAATGTAAAACTGTAAACAATCACAAAAGGATAAGCTAAGCAAAGCACACAATGATTAGCTAAGAATTGCAAAAAGATAAGCTAAGAAGAGCACCTAATAATTACTAGAAAAGAATGTCTGTAGTCATTAAGAAAGATACATCACCAGGTTGCCCTAATAAAGATGCATCATCCAAGGGTGAGAGACATCAGCTCTGGGGGGAAGCTGTCACAGTAAAGGACTGGAGACCCACACTTGGCAATTGGGAACTCCTGTGGTGTGTCCACCTCAGGCCATGAGGCTCCCCCACTTTGCTATGGCAGCGGCCCAGTTTCTATACTGTTAAACAAACAAGTGGACATAATTTCTCATTTCATTCTCCTGTTGGATTTCTCCCAAAGCCTGGCATAGGCTCGAGGAGGAACTAAGGGAGTTGTCTTTGATTGTAATACCTCCCCTAATGAGGCAAGATATAACCTTACCCAGTTTCTAGATATATAAGGGTAAATACATGTTTTGCCACTAAATTAACATATATATAACAATACTCTGTTAATGACCAAATATATGTATAACATTTGGTTGGAAGGTTCATCTATATGTCAGCTTTGGCTCAGGGCCTGTTGTTCAGGCCTTAGTACCTCACTATTTCAGTGTCTCACCACCTTCTGGGTAAAGAATTTTGTCCAAATATCTGATCTAAATCACTCCACTTTTAGCTTAAAACTATTTACCAGCCCAGGATGTGGCAGGCTTTCTGGGCCTTGAGCACAGACTGCTGGTTCATGTTCACCCACCAAAAAGAACTCTTAAGTTCCTTTCTGCAGGGCTGCTTGCAATGAGTTCTTTTCCCCAGTCTGTATTCTTATGTGGGATTGCCCTGACCCAGCAGCTTGCACCTGGACTTATTGACCCTCAGTAGGTCCCTGTGTGCCCAATTGTCAAGCTTGTCAGGGTACTGCTGCATGTGAGGAGAAGAGCAGCTCTGAAATTTCTCTCACTCCTTCCTCCTCAAGTGAAATGTGGTCTTAACTGGTGCAGTCTCCTTTTGGGAATGTGGGATAGCAGAATTGAGGGAATAAAATGTATCTGGTCAGGTTCTTCAGAACCAGTCAAATTCTTTGGATAGCAGTTCCTTTGTTGTAGGATTTTGGGGATATTTTAGGAATTCATGCCACTTGTTTTCCTCAGGAGAATCATAGTAGTGCCAATAGATGATTGTGGACCAGATTCTGCTTTGGTTTTCTGGCTCTTTAAGTAAAGCTGTGCTGGCAACTTTCTTCTTTCTGCTTTCTTGCAGTTCTATGTGGGTTTTTTTTTGGGTTGTTTTTTTTTTTTTTTTGACAGTGGGGTTGGGAAGAGAAGTTTTAATAACACAGTGAACTTTCAGTGCCTATACTAATGATTACAGTACCCAGCTTTTTCAGCTACTTCCTCATCTATTAGTGATATTTCTTCTGGGCAGAGCCCTGATGGTTGAACTCTGCTGGTAATGTGGTAGAATTCCCTAACAGCCCAGCAAGCTGTCCACATACATTTGTCCTGCCTTTTCTATAATTAAGTGAAAAAATGCAGGAACATCACTTTAAACTGTAGGAAAGGATGTAGGAAAATATGTCTGATTATGATTTGTCATATTTCTGTAACATATTGTAACATCCTTCTAGAAAGAGAGTAGTGGAGAGGAAACAGTAGATAAAGCAGAGAAGTGAGAGTGTGAGCTAGGGGAATTATAGGCTGTTTCAAAGTGCATCTCCTGTAGCTCAGAGAGTCTCTACCACCAAAAAAAAAAAAAAATTGTTTTTGAGAGAATGAGAAAGGACAGATTAGTTGCTTAGTTAGTTGTTCAGGTGTTTTCATTGTCTGATTGTCTGGATCTCTTGTTCTTTGATCATTAACATTTCTGGATGCTTTTTTCTTCTGTGTTTCCACTCATCTATTTGGATACCTTAATTATCTTTTTAATTTGGAACATCATATATATTGTTAGGAAAATTAAGGGGGGAAGGATAGCATTAGCACTTGCATTTAAATTGCATTGTTTTTCCTGGTTAGGTTGCTTGAAAAATAATACTGGTTTCTCTTGATGCATCAGATAGCTGACAGTTCTGTGTGCTGCCAGATGCCTGCAGCTCAGGAGAACAGCTGGATTTGTAAATTATAGAAGCTCTTCTCTTGTTTTGGTTCTCCTGTCTGGTTATTTTTTGTTTTAATGCTGTTTAATTTCCCTACTGTGTTTTACCTGGAGTGTCTTTTCTTTTCAATGATTACATTGATACTTAAAAAATATTCACTGTTTTCCCAACTGATCTTGTAAAAAATTGCAAGAAAAACCTGTGAAGCATTCATATAGGACATTTATGTTTACCAGGGAAATGTAAATGTTAAATTTTGCAACACTTGGTTGTTAGACCTGAATATTCTCATACACTTACCTCATACAGTGTTTACTTATGCAAAGTTTAGTGACATGAAATTGGTGAACAGTTGGAACAAATTGTATCCATACTGGTAAATTATATATTTCTGCCTCTTCACCCACATTGAATTTGTCTGACTTTTAAAATGTAAACTAACTTCAGTAAATGAAACATACGGTGCTAGATGAACTGCTTCTGATTTCACGTCCTTAGCTATTTCACCTGCTGATGTCAATTATGGAGAAACTTTAAGTACACTTCGCTATGCAAATAGAGCCAAAAACATCATCAACAAGCCTACTATTAATGAGGATCCTAACGTCAAACTGATCCGTGAGCTGAGAGCTGAAATAGCCCGACTGAAAGCCCTGCTTGCTCAAGGGAATCAGGTTAGCTTTACTTGGAATTTATGTGTAATTTTCCTTGAGTTATAACGTCTATTTCTAGAATGTAATTATCTTTCATTATATTGATTTGAGTAAACAAGCTCTATGAAGCTACGAATGAATATTAGTTTCCTGATGGGATCATTTTCCATATGGCCAGCAGATTACCTCTTTTAACATAAGGGGGGAAAAAAATTATCTTCCCAAAGGTTTTAGGTTTCTTGTAATATAATCTGAGCTGGATTGTAGTGTCTTGTGGAACAGGTAGTAAACACATGGCTTAAGGAGACTGAGCAGCAACATACCCTCTGGGTCTGCCCTGATGGACTGAAGAGGTACTTTGTCTAGTATCTTAAAGAAGATTTAAAGTATTCAAGATGCATAAATATGAAAATGAAGAGTATGAATGGATTTAAGCAATACATTTTATTTGTGTTTGGCTGTGCAGTACATTAGAAGGCACATAACATTCTAAATACGTAAAAATATTTTCAGTGGTAGTGTAAGAAAACAAAAATGCTCTGCTTCACTTTTGCATGATTCTCTTTCTTGTTTGGTCAGTGTGATCTGCTGGAAACAGTCACTGCACAGGTTTAGTTAAGTTTGGTTTCTCCTGTGTTCCCAGGGTGGTGAAACCAAAGTAACAATAAAGAATGTCCAATTGGTTCAGGCCAGTTGTCTCTTCTACATAATGTCATTCAGATCTGCTAGGTTTCATACTTGAGCAAATAGAGTTTGGAAGTATCTGAAGTACTACTTCAGATTTGTTTCTAGAACGATGTAATTCTGTTTTAGATGGTCTGTGCAGTGTGAAATGTCAGTTCAGCATGGAGCATTGTTAGCAGAAGAGTAGGACTTCAGCTGGATTTCATGCTGTAAAAAATTTACTGAAAAGGGGATGGGAACCACAGCTGGAAGCAGAAATGGCTATTGTAGATGATTGGAGCAGAGAGCTCTGCTTTGTTATGAACAGTTAAAAAACTCTTTATGGGGTTGAATTACTTGTGGTTTTTTTCATATTCTTTAGGAGGGGAAAACTAATTATTTTCAAATTATGATTTGATTTAGAGTTAGCAAAGTAGATGTAAGTTGGACCCCCTTGAAGTTTGAATGTTTTGACCTAGTTTCAAGTGGTTATTGCAAAATAAATCTGGTTCAGGGTAGGATGTGGTAGATGACTGTGTGGGAGACAAGAGAGAAGTTTATTGAATTTGTGATGGTTGGTAAAACAGCAGGTGGTGTATTAGGTATGCACAGTAGTATAAATCTCTATAATTTATTTCCTGTTTTCCTTTGTATTGCCAGAACACTGTATTGCAAATGCTTCTGTAGATCTGAAGATACTGTTTACCAAAATATGGTGCCGGATTCAGTGTAGAAGGTCACATACAATGAGTACTGCCTGTGTGTTTGTGTTGTTTAGTAATTTTCCTCTTCTAAAGCCAGTTATGTTAAGATATAGTTATTAAAGATAAAGCAGTATACAGAAGTATTAAAGCAAAATGGATAACTATTCATGTATAATAAAATTTCATGTTTTTTAGAAATATAAAGAAAGCTGTATTAGGAGTTACCTGTTATAAATGTGTCTGGTTTCTGTGTGTGTGGCCGTGTGTGTAGTGAGTGAAAATAGTGCTTTCAAGCCAATTTGTATTTGAAATACCTGCTTTGACAGGATTTTGATTGTTCTGTTTACAGTATTTCAAGGTAAAAAATGTTGTATATTAAAGTTCAAGGAAGTTTATGCTGAAGACTCAGAAAAGTTGAACAATTGAATTTCATTTGGCTCCCCCAGAAATTGTGACTGTTTTCTTTTTGAATTGATGTTTACTTTTCACGGTTTTAGATTGCACTCTTGGATTCTCCAACAGCTTTAAGTATGGAAGAAAAGCTTCAGCAGAATGAAGCAAGGGTGAGTTATAATTTCATAAAGCAGTTTTTAAACATCAAAGAAAAGGAAAGGTGGGTGGTCTGGATGCAGGAGTACTCGGAATTTTCAGGATTTTTTTTCTTATCACAACTTTCTTTTCACAACTAAGTTTTTTTCTGACTAGCAGCATTGCCTTGATGCTTTACAAAAAAAAAAAAAGAGTAGGTGTGTGAATTAGTAATTTTATTATCCTACTGATATAACATTGTAACTAAGAACAAAATACATCTTTTATATTTATGTAGCAGTTCTGTGTATGAAAATGAAATGAAAAGACTTGTTCCCCGACCAGCTTGCCTTACTGAAAAAGTATGTTTGTAAATAGACTAGAGAGGGAAAAGCCACTAAATCACAGTAACAAAATATTCAGTGTGTAGAAAAAACATCAAAAGATTATGGGGACAATGGTCACCTCTTCTGTGCTTTGAAGTAATTTATAACTTGTGGGGTAGGTTTTGAGAAAATATATTTGTACACACCAGATTTCAATACTGACATTAAGTGCCTAATTAGCTATCTTTCTGGGGGAGGGTCTTAGGTCTAGGTGTACTTCACAGTGTGCTTGTCACCAAGTTTTTTCAATAATCCAGCCAAATGTAGAGGCTGGAAAAAATTTCCAGACAGTTTGGATAACTCACAGCATCCAGAAGAATCTAGATGTAATGGTACTATCATTTCTCTGACTAGCAGTCTTTCATTTTTTATTGTATCATTCTGCATTAGTTTTTTCCTGTGTATTAACTTGCTTTGAAAGCTGTTGCAAATTGGTTCAAAAAAAAGAGTAAAAGTCATACTTTGGAAGAAGCAAGAGGGAAATATTTGAATTATTCAACTACATGGCAGCAAATATTTAGTTCTGAATACTCCCAAAAGATGCCAATCATATGTAGATACAATGCCTTCAAAACAACTGGCTCCTTAGCTGATTTAAATGGTTGGGTTTACACTAGTACTGCTTCGACCTTTAGAATTAGAAAATTTATGTCTTGCTTTGAGAATCCTGTTTTATTTATATCCTTAGTCTTTTTGAGTACAAACAAAAAGCTTTTATCTAAGAGTAGCTCAGTAAGGTAAATTGCTGACTGTAGGCTAATTAGAATATGTTATTCATGTTCTGACAGTAACCATTGCTTATTGTGCTCAGAAGTGTTGGCTCTGCTGTATGGGATGTTTATCAAGTGTATTTTATTACCTTTGTCAGCCTTGTTAAAAGGTTATGTGATTACTATTCATGATAATTACAACAGACATAATTACTGAAAATTCTTGGTAGATGTTGCAGTGGTTATAGCTTTTTTATAATTGAATGAGTGTAATAACTAATTTGTTTGTATAGATTTAAAGACTTTATCACCATATTTGTATTGCCTGACAAGTATATGGTGACTTTCTTTAATGAGTTGATTTACCTTATGTAAGAATAATTTGGAGTAGTTTAATTTAAAAATGTTTCATTTAAAAGATTTAATTAAAAAAGAAATGAAGTGTTTCTGAGCAATACAAATTGTTCCGGTATGGTGAATAGAGCTGTGATAGACTTCCTTCATGTTTTTATTTAATCTTTTGAAATTTATGGTTTTAATGTTCCAGTTAGCAGCACTAGGAATTATAGTAATGCATTGAAAAGTGTGCTTACTTGTCTGTGTTGAAACCTTGAGATGCAGGTAGAGATGAGAAAAGTTTCTGAAGCTGTCATGGATTAATTTGGAACTGATCTGCAAAGACCAAAAAAATAGCTGCAGGTGGCAAAAGGGCAGATGTTTGGAGCAACTGCATTGAAGACTTCTTTCTTTGTGCAATGGCATTGTATGAAATTTACCTAAAGAGGTGGACAACAGCTTGATCAGGAAAGGAAGGACAAATCCTAAGCATTCTGTTGGCCTGACCTCAGTTTGGGGGAGGTCATGGAGTGGGTCACCTTGAGTCCAGTCACACAGCATGTACAGAACAACCAGGGGAATCAGGGCCCATCAGCTTGGTTTAGGAAAGGCAGATCCTGCTTGACCAGCATCATCTCTTTCTATGAGAGGATGACCTGGTTTTTGGTGAGGAAAAGGCTGTGAATATTGTTTACCTGGACTTTAGGAAAGCCTTTGATGCTGTCTTCCCCAGCATTCTCTTGGTGGAACTGTCTGTTCATGGCTTGCACAGGTGCTTTGTTTCAGAAGAATATCTGGATGGCTGAACCAAGAAGAGTGATGGAGTTAAATCCAGTTGGCAGCCAGGCACCAGCGGTGCTCCCCAGGGCTCAGTATTTGGGCTAGTCCTCTGTAATATCTTTGTTGATGATCTGATGAGGGGGACAAGTGCACCCTCAGTCAGGTTGCAGATGGCACTAAGGTCTGGCTGTGTTGATCTGCTGGAGGGCAGGAAGGCTCTGCAGAGGGATCTGGCCAGGCTGGATCGATGGGCCAGGGCCAGTGGCATTGTGTTCAGTAAGGCGAAGTGCCAGGTCCTGCCCTTGGCTCACAACACCAGGCAGCACCACAGCCTGGAGGAAAAGGAACTGAAATGTGCCCAGTTGAAAAGCACCCGGGAGTGCTGGTTGACAGCAGCTAAACATGAACGAGCATGTGCCCAGGGAGCCAAGAAAGCCAGTGGCACCTGGCCTGTGTCAGCACTAGTGAGGCCAGCAGGAGCAGGGAAGTGATTCTTCCTCTGCACTTGGCACTGGTGGGGCCACACCTCGAGTGCTGTGTTCAGTTCTGGTCCTCTCATTTCAAAAAGGACACTGAGGTGCTGCAGTGAGTCCAGAGAAGGACATTGAGGGTTGGGGAAGTATCCGGAGCACAAGTGTGAGGGAGGAGTGGCTGAGGGAGCTGTGGTTGTTTAACCTGGAAAAAGGGAGGCTCAGGGGTAACCTCTCTTTGTACAACTACCTGAAAGGAGGCTGTAGCCAGCTGGGGCTCAGTTTTCTCCCAGGTAAAAGGTGATAGGACTAAAGGAAATGGCCTCAGGTTGCTTCAGGGGAGCATTAGGATATTAGGAAAAAATCCTTAATGAAAGGGTTGTCAAGCATTGGAAAAAGCTGCTCAGGGAAGTGATTGATTCTCCATCTCTAGAGATATTTAAAAAACCTATAAATGTGGCACTTCAGAGGGATGTGGTTCAGCAGTGGCTTGGCAGTGCCGGGTTAACAGCTGGACTTGATGATCTTAAGGTCTTTTCCCACCTAAATGATTTTATTCCCAGCACTCTCCCTGTCTGTAACGCCTTTGCAAGCATCTTCTCACTCCTGTGCAGATGACAATGAAGTGGGTAGTTTCTAAGTTGCAGCAAATTTTGCTCTAGTTTGCTGCTGAAGCTTGCTAGTCTGCCTCTTCCTCTGCATGCCACCCTCTGGAGGGGATTTTTGCCTTAACCTGTGCCTTGGGAAAGGAGCTGTCCTGTTATAGCTAAGGGATCAGTCTGTGGCAGTAAACTTTGTAGGAGTAAAGCACTTTGTGAAACTGCTTGAAGGTAGACAATTATTTGAAGTAATTATCCCAGATTTTCCTTTCTTCTTACAGTGTAAATAGAATTTTGTTTTGAGGGAGAAGTATTGCAGATATGGCAATTATTGCAGGAGCATCAGTGCTCTTCTAAATGCTTAAGTATTAAATGTCACAAAGAATTTCACAAATACTTAGTACTTCTTTGAGAATGCATTTATCAAGAACTTTGGAAGAGATGTGATTTTCTTCAAAATTTGTTTTCTTTCATAGGTACAAGAACTGACCAAAGAGTGGACTAACAAGTGGAATGAGACTCAAGATATTCTGAAAGTAAGGCAAATTAAATTTCTTCTTGCCATTTGACCTAGCCTTATTTTTTTCCTTAAAAAAAAAAAAAAAAGTTCTTTTTCTAAGTCATCTTCTTTCGCTCAGCTTCTTGTGTTATTCACCATAGTGACCCCACAGTGCAAAACAGTTTCTCTCTAACAAATCTTTAAATTGCTGAATGGTTTTATTGATTTACAAATGCAGAAAGCCTGGGCCAGGGACAAGTGGATCCCTCATATCCTTGGTAATTGTGTGGTATCAACAAGACCTGTGAATAATCACTTATTATCTTACATTGGGTATCTCAGTGGATGTAGTGTATAGTAGATATGGATTTTCCATTTTTCTGGTGAGATTTTATATTGGTATTTGGTGCATGAATAAGGCGGCAGTCTGAGGTTATATTTTAACAGGCTACTTGATGATTCCATGCATTTGTACAAGCACATGTGTGCATGCACACATACACAGAGGAATAATTCCCACAAGTTGTTTTTTAACATGTTAACTGATATTTTTGTTGCCAAATGTTTTAACTTCTGTTAAATAAAGATTTTGAAAATTAAGCTTAATTTTTCAGGATTTGCTGAACATAACTTGTTTGTAGTGCAATTCAAGCTAGCATTTAGAAGTAATTTTTTGATTCTCCATATCACTGATCTCAAACTTGATTTTTCTTTTATCATTTTTCTGGTTTCTTAATTTTTTTTCTTCAAGTCCACCACTGTCTTTGATGTGACTTCCACATGAGTTGAATGGCTCTGTGCTTAAAAATAAAAGTAAAGCACATATAGCAGAGAGAATGGAGCAGGGTTGGTAACTACTTAGCAGTTGGCATGACAGAATGGACTGTTTAATGTCTAGCTGGATACTGAACTGGGAATTATTAATTGCATATTCGTCAGAGATGTTTGGCTACATCTTTATGTTATTTTGTTATTTTGAAGCATCTATGCATACATAAAACTTTGTTAATTCTCTCTTTGTTCACGTGTGGATAGGGAAGTCCATTGTCACATATAGCGTTTGTGAATTTTGGTCAGTTGTGGAAGTGAACATTATGTTGCATGTGGGAAATTTTGAAAGCTCTGTGTTGGAAATGCACTGATTCATGCACATAAATTGTAGAATCAGAGGAGATGTTAACTGAACAGCACATATAAACAAGGGAAAACTGCCTTTGTAAACACTCGAATCTAAAGGACTTAAACACAGAAGCTGTAATTTCTGATTTTCTAATACTGAGTTTTTCAGCATGATTCTTGCAGCTTCTGTATGAACTGCACTCTCATAGAATGGTATTTGAGTGTATGAATATACTTTATATTCCACTTTTGGGTTAAAGGCAGTGAATTAAACTTTCTTTGTCCCAAACACCCTGAAAATCTGCAACAGATTTCTTAGTTGTACTGTTCTATTTTATGCCATTTCACTGAAGGTATCCATATTTTTATTCACTTCTTGTTTAATGATTTGTGAAATCGCTGACAGCATATGAGTGGGAAAGGACTTTCTGGAAGTTTGCCAGGCTGAATCACTGAAAGCAGATTTTAAACTTTAAAGAGCAGTGGTGTTTTTTGTTATGGATTCTCTGTGAGTTCACTGGGGTTTTTGTTTTGTCATTTATGTCCCTCCCTTGCACACAGAGACCATACATGTTGTAATTTGTAAAAACAGATTGTCTTGGCACTCTGAGAAGTGAGATTGTCTTTGTATGTCCACATCACTGAAGTCACACCTGCCACTTTCCCCATGCCATAATTCAGTAATTTTCAGGACATTCTTCATTAAGGTACTTAGAACTTCATGTTTGTATTATATTTAAAACTTTCTTTCCCTTGCCTCCCCTGGCTTTGCTATCCTGAGATAGCTGGTGCCTTCCAACTCCTGGCCTGCAACAGGCTTGGAGAATTAAAAACCATTTGCTTTTCAGTTTCTAACACGTTTTGCTTCAAATCTTACAGGCATTGCATCTTATTGCATCTTATGCCTGCAAGATGCAAGTGCACTTGTTTGTAGCTGAATGGGATTCCCTACTTTATTGTATGTAGTTATTCTTTTTTGTACTAAATTCTAAATATTAAAGTTCACATGATTTTGAATTGTTCTCACAGGCTGATGGGAAAATCTGTTAATGTTTAAATCCAAAATAATTGAAAGGATTTTGCATAATCCTTGTAAAATACAAGTAAGAATCATGGGGCATGCTGGTGTCTTCCACTAGATCAACAGATAATTTCTGGAAAAAGTTACCTGGTTTTCAGTGAATACAGTGCTTTCATCAGGCAAAGATGCCTGACAAATAAACAGTGTTTTGCAAGGAATATTTCCTGAAATTTTTTTCCCCTTGCCTGTTATTTTGAACCTTGTTTAAAATTAGACCAGCAGCATCTGAATGCTACCTTGAAAATAATTCACAGAGAATGGAAAATACAGCTTTCCATTTTTACTTTCCAGCTAGAAAGTACCAAGGAACAGAAAAATCCATGTGAAGGCAGGTTTTGATAAAAAGTATTTGGCAGCTTGAAATTCAATTTTTCTAGTCAGCACTGTGCCATATGTGCAGCTGACATGTGCATCCCAGTATTCTTCCTTGTTTCTGTTGGTAGCTTTTATCCCTTTTGACATTTGTGCATACTTAACCTGAAGTTATGTTTTTCCATCTTTAGACTGAGTATGTTGAACTATCCTATTTGCAAATGTTGTCAGTTTTGGGTTTGGGGTAATGTGCAGTGCTGAATGCCACTATCAGCTGTGAACATCTTGTGTAGTCTCTCATTCTGTTGATGATAGGTTGGACAGATCTTGGGCTGGGGGTTGGTAGCACTGGTAGTGTGCTCCTTTTCTTTTGTGCTTTTGGAAGAATCCTTTTGGAGGGTGACTGTAGGTGGCTTCCTCTGGAGTCTGAATTATTGTCAACTCACACCTAAAGCCCATATCTTCTCATTTTCTCTATTCAAAGCTTAGGACACTGCATACATCAGGGTTTAATTTTGTGCTGATTCTGTATATTGTGTAGCATGGCAGGTTCTTGGTGTTGTTCTGCCTGAAGTGCCAAGCTTGCTTATAGTAGTGATGTTTGTTTTCATCCTTGATCTTCTCACTGTAATACAAACTGACACTCTAACCTTAGTATTACAGTGTCACCTGTCCTTGTTTTTAATAAAAGCAAGGATATTTGAATGCTTAATAAATTTAATAAATATGTGGACGATGCTTCACCATTGGTAAAATACTGCATCAGAGCCCAAAGTGGTAGTGTTTGGTTTTAAGTCCACAGGCTTTGGGTTATTTCTCTAAATGTCATCAAAGAGTTGCACCTTACAGAGCAGTGTTGCTTTACATTGCTTCTCTGTCTTCAGATGTCTTGCGACCTCAGCATTTAACTGGAGCATTTCGCTTTCATCTCAAGCTCATTGGATCATTGTGTGAATTTTTTTTTGCCTTCTTCTAATGTTCTTTCATATACATTCCCAAAAAGAAGAGGAGGAGGGAAGAAATCCTGTTTGCTCTTTTCCTTAGTTTAGTCCTTTTTGTACTGTTCTGCTAAAGATCAATTACGGGATCCAAGATGTTAGGCTAACCTATCCAACTTTTGATTTTTTCTCTTAATTGGTAATTTAATGAATTGGTATGAAACTTCTTTTGATGTGACTGCTTTATTTGACTGCATATGTTGTCATTCTCCAGAGATGATTTTTTTTTTTTAAGTGTCACCTTTTTTTTTGTCATCCTTTGTGCGTGTTTCATTTTTTTTCTCTAACCTTTGGCAGCTTTTAGATTAATCTTTTTAAAATGTGCACTCCTTTATATGATTCTCTGCTGGTTTTTCTTCCCAACTTTCTTTTAAATTTCTCTCTCTTTTTCTGTTTATGTAGAAATTGGTATGACTTTGAGCTTTTGCCTTTTTAATGTATGTCATTTGTAGCTAGTGTAAAGGTATTTGAATGCTGTTTTAAAAATTATTTTTAGTTTGAAGTAGATTTAAAGTTCCCTTTTATTTGCTTATCCTGTTTGATTCTAGCCATGTCATTAGCTTTGTGTGTTGATAGTCAGCTGATGTCAAAGGATGTAGAGGGATCTATCATCAGAGTCTATTAAAGGACAAGGGGTTTTTTGTGTGTGTGTGTGCCTAATTCGTGTGATCAATAGTTTAACTTGTCACTACTTCAGCTGGCTTTGTCCTGTTGGATTTAGTGACACCACCTCACTTGCATCAATAATTCCGCTGCAGCACTTTACCACATGGTGTGCAAATACGTTATTGAACATTGTTTACTGATGATTTGATTATTCTTTTTCTTTTTTGTGCTGTTTATGTTATATCATGCCTCTTTTTGGGGAAAATTAAATACCCTTGACTTGCCACGATGAATAAATACATATTAATACCAATTATTTTGGTGGACATACTCATCTACGCAGGGGAATTTTCTTTCTTTAGGAGTCTTGGCTATATGCAGCAAAGACACTAGGAGACCAAAACTCAGAGCAGCTGTGTTGCTCATTATGAGGTGTAGATTAGGGTGACACAAGCAAATATATTTTATTTTAACAGTTTGCTTTCCATGGTGGCTTGCATACCATAGTGAACCCTGTCAAGAGCAGTTTGTTGTGTTCTATATAAATGTTGCATTTGTCTACATTTATTTTCATAGCCAGATAATCTTTAAGCCACATTTGCTGAATAGTATTAAAACACTATTGTCTCAGTTCTTCTGCCTGAAACGCTGGGCATACATCACCATTTTGCTGTTTTATGTCTTGTTGTTACTACCTGTTAACTGTGACCCACTTGTCTGCTTTTCCTCTTCTCATTTGTGTTGTGTTCTACCCCAGTGTGTTGCGCTTTGCTGAGCATTTGTTTTCTTCATTCTTTCATATCATTGCTGTAACAAGCTCACTCCTCAGGTGAGAAGTGCTGTCAATTAGCACCTTCTGCTTTCACCTAAAATTCTAGTGTCTACTTCCACTTTTGATGGCAGCAGGGTAGAGGAGTTGTA